TGGCTCACCTCTGCCTGGCCCTCTGGCCCTCAGGCACATGCATCCATGGCAGACTCCACTCGGCAGCAGGTACTTGCTGCCTGTGCTTCAGCTCACCTGGGCTGCTGTTCGCCTATTACTTCTCCTCAGGGACCAGGGTGCTGGTTGCATGGCTTGGTGGCTAGAGAGCCATGTCAATATTACCCTGCTGATGACTAGCCTTGTGCCATGTATTAATTCTAATGATGTTGCTGTTTTACGTAAGGCAGGTGAGGTAGAAATGACTTTGAACTTAAAATATATATATATATATATATAATATAAAATCCCCATCAAAACTAAATATTGTAAAAAAAAGAAAGAAAAAAGAAAAAGACAAAACTAAATATTGTAATGTATTTGAATATTGTAAATGTATTTGACATGAATCATGTAAAATAAAACATTTTTATCTCATTTTCTTCTATAAAGAGAGCTGCCATTTACCCTTTTCTTTTATTTAGATGGTTACAGTTCCTTACAGATATTATTGATAACATAGGGAAAATTTTGTTATCAAATAGTTTTTAAACACTAGCTATATATCTGTAGGTGATATACTATAAAAATATAGGGGCTGGCAAAATTTTCTATAAAGGACCACATAATAAAAAATATAATTAATCTTCATTTATGGATTTTATATTTGTAAAGTCCCTACCCAAAGTCAATATTTGCTGCACTTTTGAGGTCATTTATGGACATTTGAAGAGTTGTGAGAAATGTGTCCCTTAGTAGTCATGTTTTCAGTTGAAATTGAACAAGACAATCCTGATCTTTCTTGTTTCAGATCTCATAAGATAAATAGGTATCCTTTTTGCAGTCTATTTAATACCACTTTTTTCATATTTTTGTGGTTTTTTTTTTTTTTTTTTTTAGTGATTTTGCTGCTTAAAGTGCTGAAGTGCTCTTTTGTGCTCCAAAGCACAAAGAGACTACAATGTCTTTGTGTTAAATTAGCTGTATGGAGAGATTCAAGATGGTAGACTAGAGGAAGGCTGCATTTCCAGTTGCTCCATGCCAGGGATTCAAGCAGTGGGAGTCCTGATTCTTAGCAAGGTATGTGAAAGAGAGAATTCACTGAAATTATTGGGTGCATTGAACAAAGGACAAGAAAAATACATTGGGGCCAAGCTGGTTGTGGCTGTGATAGCAGCATTGGTTCACTGCAGAGGGGTGGGATGACACAGAGAATCACAATGAACAAAAACTTGTAGAACAGAAAAGCATCCTGAACCTAGCTGATCCAGAGCCTGCACAGTAGACTGAGCTGGAGTTTGAAAATTGCTTTGTATTTCTCAACTGGCAAGCAGAGAGCTGAATCTGGTAGCCGTTGTGAGGAGGCTACACTTTAAACTGCTGCTGCAAATATTGCCATACTGTTTTGGCAAGCATCTATTGTATGGCCTAGGTTGTACCTAGCAAAATGTGAGGCAAACAGAAACAGAGAATATTGTACCCAGGGAGGTTCAAGTCAGAGATACAGAGTAGAGTGCAACTCAATTCCCTTTTGAGACTGGCCAATCAAGTGATCAGCTGAAGGGGTCAGGAAGCTGAAGAGGTGTGTGATTATTCTTGGGGACTAAGTCTGGGAAGGCCATATTCATGGGAAGCAGAGTGTGGGAGACCTGTGGAAGTTTGGCTCCACTGCTCCTCAAGTAGAATTAGTAGTCTCCTGAGATGCAGATTCAGCATCTGCCCTGCCCAGAGGTATGTTGATCTAATCTCTCCAGAACAGGTACCACACAACAAAGTCCATAAGGCCTGACTAGATGCCGCAGTCTGGCTGGGCACAATCAGGAGCCACTTGTCAAAAGAAACTGACTTTATTTTTAGAACCACACACGCCAAACAAAACAGCCTCTCAGGAAAAACCCTCAGAGCCTCAACTGCCACCACCGGCTTTCCACAAGCCTCTCTCTCCCACACAAGCTTCTCTCCACCTCCCACAATCCTCCTGCTCTTGAGGCCGATTGGCTGGGTCACGTGGGCGGAGCCAAAAAGTCCCCCAATGAGCAGCTCCGTGGTCTGAAGGGGCAGGGAAACAGCCCAATGAGCATCACCGCAGAGGAGCCAATCAGCTAGATGTTGCTGGGGCCGCTGTGGGCCAATCATCAGCCGGCAGCTGGTTGCTGGCAGCTGGAAGTTTGCTGGGGCCCCTTTGGCTGTGGCTCTCAACAACTAGAGAGCTAAGCCCCAGCTTCTGGAACTCTCTACTTAGAAATTCTGTAGCAGCTTCACCCTTGGAAGAGCAACATTCTGGTCTGCCTGGACAAAACTCCAATCCATAGTACTTTCCATTCTGCTGTACCTTATATGGTGAGAAGGGAAGTTGAAAGCTATTTCAATAAGCTTCAGTTTTAGGTCACTCCAGCTGGCAGCTCAGTGAGCAATGAAGGGTTTAATAATTCCCAGCCCTCACTCATGCTCTCCCTTTTTTTTTCCCTCAGAAAATACCCCAAGAAGAAATGGAAATGGCAGTTGAGCATAGGCAGTTACAATCCATCTTCTTCACCAGTTCTGACCACCTCAGTGGAGACTATTCTTTCATTTTTTCATTAAGAATTTTTTTCCCCTTTTGCCAGGTGCAGTGGCTCACACCTGTAATCCCAGTGACTCTGGATGTTAAGGCAGGAAGATCTCGAGTTCAAAGCCAGTCTCAGCAAAAGCGAGGTGCTAAGCAACTTTGTGAGACCCTATCTCTAAATAAAATATAAAAATAAAAAGGACAAGGTGTGTAGCTCAGTGCTAAGTGTCCCTGGATTCAATCCCCAAAACTAAAAAAAATAAATAATAGAAACACAAAACAAGCTTATGTATTTATTAGTGAAAATGTTGTGGCCATATCCTTGTTAGAATATAACCTGTGGACTGGGGATGTGGCTCAAGCAGTAGCGCGCTCACCTGGCATGCGTGCAGCCCGGGTTCGATCCTCAGCACCACATACAAACAAAGATGTTGTGTCCGCCAAAAACTAAAAAATAAATATTAAAAAATTCTCTCTCTCTTCTCAGAGTCTCTCTCTCTCTCAAAAAAAAAAAATGTATGTAACCTGTATTTCCTCTCAGAGCAATGGTTTAGTATTTACCAATTCAGTGTTTGCAGGAAATTTACAGACCATAACTACTGTGAATAATGAAAATAAACTATATTTTAGGCTTACAATTTGGTCTGTGTAACCCCTCAATTCTGTTCTTGTAGCTCAAATACAGTCATGGACTATTAGTACACACACATATTGGCTATGTTTAAATAAAACTTTATTTATGGACAATGAAACTTGAAATGCATGCTTTTCAAACCTCATGAAATATCATTTGCCCTTTTATTTTTCTTTTAAATATTTAAATATACACAAACCTTTCTCAGCTGTTACTTAATGACAAATGAGGGGTCACTTTTGGACTGCAGATTGCAGTTTATCAACTTCTGATCTAAAAGAACTACAATCGGGCTGGGGATGTGGCTCAAGCGGTAGCATGCTCGCCTGGCATGCGTGCGGCCTGGGTTCGATCCTCAGCACCACATACAAACAAAGATGTTGTGTCTGCCGAGAGCTAAAAAATAAATATTAAAACAATTCTCTCTCCCACTCTCTCTTTAAAAAAAATAAAAGAACTACAATCTAAAATTTTACTTAATATTGTCAGTAATAATATTGGTGTTGCATTTTTAAACTATTTTATGCCAATAGTTGGTTAAAGCCAAGAAATAAATGTTAGTGTGACTAGGAACCAGGATTTCTGTTAAAGAAGGCTGAATATAAAAGCCTAGAAAAAAAATTTGTGATGTTAAATTTGAATTACTTGTGCCAGTATGAACTCATGTTTTGTGTCTTTTTTTGGGGGGTGGTGGTATCTCCCCCCCCTTTTTTTATTGGGGATTGAATCCAGTGCTTAACCACTGAACCACCTTCCCAGCCCTTTTTACTTTTTAATTATGAGACAGGGTCTCGTTAATTGCTTAGACCTGCCTTGAACTTGTGATCCTCTTGCCTTAGCTTCCCGAGTCGCTGGGATTACAGGTGTGTACCACCACACCTGGCTAAAAAATCTTATTTTAAAAGTTATGCTCATTTGCATATTATACCCGTGATTATTTGTAAAATAAATAAATAATTAAAAACATTTTCAAATCGAATCCTTCAGTATAATCGATGCTCCTTGCAGATGCAGCACTCCTCTCTCCATATCAGAGTTGAGGAGAACATGTATCTTGGTCACATCAAAATATCCAGATAGGCCAGGCACAAGGGCACAAACTGCAATCCCAGGGACTTGGGAGGCTGAGGCAAGAGGATCCCAAGTTCCACGCTAGCCTCTGCAACTTAGTAAGACCCTGTCTCAAAATTAAATTTAAAAAATGGGCTGGGGTCATAGCTCAGTTGGTAGAGTGCCCCTGGGTTCAGTCCTCTGTACCACTTTAAAAAATTTTTTTTTTTCACATAGGAACACACCAGCGATGTGCACAGCAGGGACGACCTGACAAAGACAAACCTATCATAAATGTTCACAGTGAGTTACAGACAATTCCACAGAAACACAATCTCATGCACTCATTAAATCCTATTATCCCACAGACCACCACATCATTCAGTCCTACAGAGCCCGACACACAATTCATAAAACCTCCCTCACATATGTAATTCTGGTTACCCCAGAAACACTGTCTCAAACACAAACCACACAGGACGAATCACATCAGAACCACTCCAAGGGCAGACACAGCGCTTCCTTGGACAGTTCTTCAGCTGGCCCCACCGAGTGTCACGTTTTGAAACTTCACTCCTTCATTAACTCGCAGGCAATCGGTCCCCGCCCCTCTCCACGCCCCGCCAGCGTACGGTTTGAGACAAAGGACTGGGCAGCCTACACTAACAGGGGCGGAACTAGCTCCCAGGCTTACAAGGCGAGCCTGGACCCGCCCCCTTTGTCCAGGCGCGCCTGCGCACTCAGCGCGCGGCTGGCAACTCCCAACAACCCCTGCGTGCGGCCCGTTAGGCCACTTGGGCTGTAGACAGTTCCTGGCCGAGCGTCTTCGCTTGGGCTGGGCATCACCTTGAGACGTGTTCGGCGCCACAAGTGAGCAGTCCTGTCCCGGAGTGTCGGTCCTAGCCATTACGTAACAAAGGCGCTGCGGCGCGGGGGGTAAGAGAGGGAAGGGAGGCACTGTAGCGCGCTGCCTCGGGCCGCTGGTGAGAAGGGCGGTGTAGCTGTGTCTGTGGGCGTGACAGGACTTGGGTTTGGAACCGGACTCGGAGCGGTTGTGAGCTCGGGACCGGTACGTGGTGGCTTTTGACCGAATTGGATGCAAAGCCTCTTGTGTGAGCGAAGTTGCTGTGGCCGTGGAGAGTATGACTGTGACCCCAGTGACATCTGCCATATAGCCACACCCAATCCAGAGTAGTGAAATGGCCCCTCTAGACATCATCTGAGCGCCAGGGAGAAGACTCCCAGCGAAAGGGCTCTGACCTGATCTTGGGATAAGAATGTTAGAAGTCAACGAGTCCCTCCAAGCCTGGCTCCTGGGAGGACTCCCACCATACCACGTCCCGATGCGCGGACAGACTCCCACGCCCTCACACTCAGTTCTGGGGATGGGGGTCCACCTGCAGGTTTCAGGTACTAGGGATTGAATGCAGAGTGCCCTCCAGGAAGCTATTATGAACTGCAGTCCAGCCCTGGGTATCCGTGACCCCTGCCTTTCATGGATACAGGGAAGGGTTCTGAATTGGTGTGAATAGGTGTAGGCGTGACTGGGTAGAGGCATATGGGGTCGTGGCTCTGTGACCTCATTTAAACAGGCTGGGCTCCAAGAAAGGCCTGGATTTTAAGATTTCTTTCTTTCCCAGTTCTGCTGAACTTGTACATGCCTCGAAGGAAAAGGAAAGAATTGCCATTTACCATTTAAAAGTCAAGGTCAAGGCGGATAGTTTCCCCTTGTTCTGTGAAATGCATTTTTATTTTTTAGGACATAGGAACATTTGCTCCCTTCTCTCTCTCTTTTTATTTATTTTTGAGGTACTGTGGTCTCTTCTTTTTAAAAGTTATCTTCATTGAACTGCTACCTAGGCTGGCTCCCTAGTGCCTCTATGCGGGTATCCATTTGGAATGCTTTCAGTACTTCTGTCAACTTTATTTTTTTAAGAATTTTTTAGTTGTAGATGGACATAATATCTTTTGTTTGTTTGTTTTTTATGTGTTCTGAGGATTGAACCCAGTGCTTCACACATTTTAGGCAAGCGCTCTACCACTGAGCTTACATCAGCCTTGTGGGCTTTATTTTTATAATTATGAACTCTTAGAATAAGTAGATAATAAACATTAGCTCGAACAAAAATTCTTTTTTAAATATGTATATATATATTTAAAAAAATATATTTATTTTTTAGTTTTAGGTGGACACAATATCTTTATTGTGCTGAGAATCGAATCCAGTGTCTCACGCATGCTAGGCAAGTGCTCTACATCTGTGCTACAACCCCAGCCCTAGAATAAGAATTATTTTTAAATTTTTTTTTTAGTTGTTGATGGACCTTTATTTTATTCATTTATTTATATGCAGTGCTGAGAATCGAACCCAGTACCTCACACATGTGCTATTCCACTGAGCCACAACTTCAGCCCTGAACAAGAATTCTTAACCAGGGTAATTTGAAACTATTTAGGTCTTTCAGCAGACTAAACACCCTATGAAACTGTATGTAAAAATTTTTTGTAGATACTCGTTAATATGTCATTCTTCTGGAGACAAATTCTGTAATTTAACATGACCCCAAAAGATACACATCCATTGCCATAAATTTAAAGATTGTAATATCTAAGAATGTTTAGTTTTTTGGTACTAGGGATTGAACCCAGGGCCTCATGCCATGGATGCTGGCCAAGTAGTCTAGCACTGAGCTGTATCCTAAGCACCCCACCCACTTTTTTTTTTTTTTTTTTTTAGAACCAGGATTGAACCCAGGTGTGCTTAACCACAAGAGACACATTCCCGGCCCTATTTTGTATTTTATTTATTTATTTATTTTTTTTTTCTGAAGACTTTTTCCTTAATCATGCAAGTTTTTTTTTTTTTTTAATTTTTTATTGTGGGTTGTTCAAAACATTACAAATTTCTTGACATATCATATTCCACACTTTGATTCAAGTGGGTTATGAACTCCCCACCTTCACCCCATACACAGATTGCAGAATCACATCAGTTACACATCCATTGATTTACAAATTGCCATACTAGTGTCTGTTGTGCTCCGCTGCCTTTCCCATCCTCCACCCTCCCCCCTCCCCACCTCTCCCCTCCCCTCCCCTCCTCTCTCTCTACCCCCTCCACTGTATAACCCTGAGGGTCTCCTTCCATTACTGTGCAATTTCCCTTCTCTCTCCCTTTCCCTCCGACTTCTCATCCCTGTTAAATGTTAATCTTCTTCTCCTGCTCTTCGTCCCTACTCTGTTCTTAGTTACTCTCCTTATATCAAAGAAGACATTTGGCATTTGTTTTTTAGGGATTGGCTAGCTTCACTTAGCATAATCTGCTCTAATGCCATCCATTTCCCTGTAAATTCTATGATTTTATCATTTTTTAATGCAGAGTAATACTCCATTGTGTATAAATGCCACATTTTTTTTATCCATTCATCTATTGAAGGGCATCTAGGTTGGTTCCACAGTCTTGCTATTGTGAACTGTGCTGCTATGAACATCGATGTAGCAGTGTCCCTGTAGCATGCTCTTTTTAGGTCTTTAGGGAATAGACCAAGAAGGGGAATAGCTGGGTCAAATGGTGGCTCCATTCCCAGCTTTCCAAGAAATCTCCATACTGCTTTCCAAATTGGCTGCACCAATCTGCAGTCCCACCAGCAATGTACAAGTGTACCCTTTTCCCCACATCCTCTCCAGCACTTGTTGTTGTTTGACTTCCTAATGGCTGCCAATCTTACTGGAGTGAGATGGTATCTTAGGGTGGTTTTGATTTGCATTTCTCTGACAGCTAGAGATGGTGAGCATTTTTTCATGTACTTGTTGATTGACTGTATGTCCTCCTCTGAGAAGTGTCTGTTCAGGTCCTTGGCCCATTTGTTGATTGGGTTGTTTGTTCTCTTATTGTCTAATTTTTTGAGTTCTTTGTATACTCTGGATATTAGGGCTCTATCTGAAGTGTGAGGAGTAAAGATTTGTTCGCAGGGTGTAGGCTCCCTATTTACCTCTCTTATTGTTTCTTTTGCTGAGAAAAAACTTTTTAGTTTGAGTAAGTCCCATTTGTTGATTCCAGTTATTAACTTTTGTGCTATGGGTGTCCTATTGAGGAATTTGGAGCCCAACCCCACCGACTGTAGATCGTAGCCAACTTTTTCTTCTATCAGACGGCGCGTCTCTGATTTGATATCAAGCTCCTTGATGCATTTTGAATTCACTTTTGTGCATGGCGAGAGAAAGGGATTCAGTTTCATTTTGTTGCATATGGATTTCCAGTTTTCCCAGCACCATTTGTTGAAGATGCTATCCTTCCTCCATTGCATGCTTTTAGCCCCTTTATCAAATATAAGATAGTTGTAGTTTTGTGGATTGGTTTCTGTGTCCTCTATTCTGTACCATTGGTCCACCCGCCTGTTTTGGTACCAGTACCATGCTGTTTTTGTTACTATTGCTCTGTAGTATAGTTTGAAGTCTGGTATCGCTATACCGCCTGATTCACACTTCTTGCTTAGCATTGTTTTTGCTATTCTGGGTCTTTTATTTTTCCATATGAATTTCATGATTGCTTTCTCTATTTCTACAAGAAATGCCGTTGGGATTTTGATTGGCATTGCATTAAACCTATAGAGAACTTTTGGTAATATCGCCATTTTGATGATGTTAGTTCTGCCTATCCATGAACAGGGTATATTTTTCCATCTTCTAAGATCTTCTTCTATTTCTCTCTTTAGGGTTCTGTAGTTTTCATTGTATAAGTCTTTCACCTCTTTTGTTAGGTTGATTCCCAAGTATTTTATTTTTTTTGAAGATATTGTGAATGGAGTGATTGTCCTCATTTCCATTTCAGAGGATTTGTCGCTGATATACAGGAATGCCTTTGATTTATGCGTGTTGATTTTATTTTATTTATTTATTTTTTTTTTAAATTTTTTATTGTGGGTTGTTCAAAACATTACAAATTTCTTGACATATCATATTCCACACTTTGATTCTAGTGGGTTATGAACTCCCACCTTCACCCCATACACAGATTGCAGATTCACATCAGTTACACATCCATTGATTTACAAATTGCCATACTAGTGTCTGTTGTGCTCCGCTGCCTTTCCCATCATCCACCCTCGCGTGTTGATTTTAAATCCTGCCACTTTGCTGAATTCATTTATTAGCTCTAATAGTTTCTTTGTAGAGCCTTTTGGGTCTGCTAGGTATAGAATCATATCATCTGCAAATAGTGATAATTTAAGTTCTTCTTTTCCTATTTTTATGCCTTGAATTTCTTTCGTCTGTCTAATTGCTCTGGCCAGTGTTTCGAGAACTATGTTGAAGAGAAGTGGAGAGAGAGGGCATCCCTGTCTTGTTCCAGATTTTAGCGGGAATGCCTTCAGTTTTTCTCCATTCAGAATGATGCTAGCCTGAGGCTTAGCATAGATTGCTTTTACAATATTGAGGTATGTTCCTGTTATCCCTAGTTTTTCTAGAGTTTTGAAGATAAAGGGATGCTGTACTTTGTCGAATGCTTTTTCCGCATCTATCGAGATGATCATATGGTTCTTATTTTTAAGTCTATTGATGTGGTGAATAACATTTATTGATTTCCGTATATTGAACCAGCCTTGCATCCCAGGGATGAATCCTACTTGATCATGGTGTACAATTTTTTTGATATGTTTTTGTATCCGATTCGCCAGAATTTTATTGAGGATTTTTGCATCTAGGTTCATTAGAGATATTGGTCTGTAGTTTTCTTTCTTTGAAGTGTCTTTGTCTGGTTTAGGTATCAGGGTGATGTTGGCCTCATAGAATGAATTTGGAAGTTCTCCCTCCTTTTCTATTTCCTGAAGTAGCTTGAAAAGTATTGGTATTAGTTCTTCTTTAAAGGTTTTGTAAAATTCTGCTGTATACCCATCCGGACCTGGGCTTTTCTTAGTTGGTAGTCTTTTTATGGTTTC